TTGCAACGCTGCATACTCAGGGAGAACACTTATACCTTGATAATTTAGTGAGAGATCATCTTATAATGCTACCGTCAATCAAAGCAAGATAAGATGCATAAAAGATCAACATCACATGCAATCAGTATAAGTGATATGATATGGTCATCATCATCTTGTGCTTGTGATCTCCATCTCCGAAGCACCGTCATGATCACCATCGTCACCGGCGCGACACCTTGATCTCCATCATAGTATCGTTGTTGTCTCGCCAACTATTGCTTCTACGACTATCGCTCCCGCTTAGTGATAAAGTAAAGCAATTATAGGGCGATTGCATTGCATACAATAAAGCGACAACCATATGGCTCCTGCTAGTTGCTGATAACTTGGTTACAAAACATGTCCATCCCATACAATAAAATATAGCATCATGTCTTGACCATCACATCACAACATGCCCTGCAAAAACAAGTTAGACGTCCTCTACTTTGTTGTTGCAAGTTTTACGTGGCTGCTACGGGCTGAGCAAGAACCGTTCTTACCTACGTATCAAAACCACAACGATAGTTCGTCAAGTTAGTGATGTTTTAACCTTCTCAAGGACCGGGCGTAGCCACACTCGGTTCAACTAATGTTGGAGAAACTGACACCCGCCAACCACCTGTGTGCAAAGCACGTCGGTAGAACTAGTCTCGCGTAAGCATACGTGTGATGTCGGTCCGGGCCGCTTCATCCAACAATACCACCGAACCAAAGTATGACATGCTGGTAAGAAGTATGACTTGTATCGCCCACAACTCACTTGTGTTCTACTCGTGCATATAACATCAACGCATAAAACCTGGCTCGGATGCCACTGTTGGGGAACGTAGTAATTTCAAAAAAATTCCTACGCACACGCAAGATCATGGTGATGCATAGCAACGAGAGGGGAGAGTGTGTCCACGTACCCTCGTAGACCGAAAGCGGAAGTGTTAGCACAACGTGGTTGATGTAGTCATACGTCTTCACGATCCGACCGATCAAGCACCGAACGCATGACACCTCCGAGTTCTGCACACGTTCAACTCAATGACGTCCCTCGAACTCTGATCCAGCCGAGCTTTGAGGGAGAGTTTCGTCGGCACGAAGGCGTGGTGACGACGATGATGTTCTACCGACGCAGGGCTTCGCCTAAGCACCGCTACGATATGACCGAGGTGGATTATGGTGGAGGGGGGCACTGCACATGGCTAAAAGATCCAAGAGATCAATTGTTGTGTCTATGGGGTGCCCCCTCCTCCGTATATAAAGGTGGGAAGGAGGAGGGGGCCAACCAAGGAGAGGAGGCGCGCCCAAGGGGGGGCAATCATACTCCAAGTAGGTTTTGCCCCCTTTCCTATTCCAATTAGGAGAAGGGGGAGGAGGAGGTGGAGAGAAGGAAGGAGAAGGGGGGCCACCGCCCCCTTCCCTTTCCCAATTTGGATTGGGGCAAGGGGGGCCGCGCGCCACCTCCTGCCGCCTCTCCTCTTCCACCACTTGGGCCCATGAGGCCCAATAACCCCCGAGGGGGTTCCGGTAACCCCCCGGTACTCTGGTATATATCCGATAACCCCTGGAACCATTCCGGTGTCCGAATATGGTCATCCAATATATCAATCTTCATGTCTCAACCATTTCGAGACTCCTCGCCATGTCTTTGGTCATACCCGGGACTCCGAACTACCTTCGATACATCAAAACACATAAACTCATAATATAACCGTCATCGAACTTTAAGCGTGCGGACCCTACGGGTTCGAGAACTATGTAGACATGACCGAGACACGTCTCCGGTCAATAACCAATAGCGGAACCTGGATGCTCATATTGGCTCCTACATATTCTACGAAGATCTTTATCGGTCAAACCGTATAACAACATACGTTGTTCCCTTTGTCATCGGTATGTTACTTGCCCGAGATTTGATCGTCGGTATCTCAATACCTAGTTCAATTTCGTTACCGGCAAGTCTCTTTACTCGTTCCGTAATACATCATCCCGCAACTAACTCATTAGTTACAATGCTTGCAAGGCTTGAGTGATGTGTATCACCGAGTGGGCCCAGAGATACCTCTCGACAATCGGAGTGACAAATCCTAATCTTGAAATACGCCATCCCAACAAGTACCTTTGGAGACACTTGTAGAGCACCTTTATAATCACCCAGTTATGTTGTGACGTTTGGTAGCACACAAAGTGTTCCTCCGGTAAACGGGAATTGCATAATCTCATAGTCATAGGAACATGTATAAGTCATGAAGAAAGCAATATCAACAAACTAAACGATCAAGTGCTAAGCTAACGGAAAGGGTCAAGTCAATCACATCATTCTCCTAATGATGTGATCCCGTTAATCAAATGACAACTCTTTTTCCATGGCTAGGAAACATAACCATCTTTGATTCAACGAGCTAGTCAAGTAGAGGCATACTAGTGACACTCTGTTTGTCTATGTATTCACACATGTATCATGTTTCCGGTTAATACAATTCTAGCATGAATAATAAACATTTATCATGGTATAAGGAAATAAATAATAACTTTATTATTATTGCCTCTAGGGCATATTTCCTTCAGAAACTTCGTCCCGATGGTATACAGGAGCGCTAGAAAGCGCATTGGGTGGTTTGAGGCTTTGTGAGCGAGTCGGTGTCGACTTCATGAATACCTTTGCCGTGGTTGTCAAACCCAGCACGATCCGTACCATCATGCACCTCATAGTGTCTCGGGCATGGCCGGTAAACCAGATGGATGTCTCCAACGCCTTCCTCCGTGGCCATCTCGACGAGCTAGTGTATTGCCAGCGGCCTGCTGGTTTTGTCGATGACGCAACCCCGAATCATGTGTGCCCACTTTCTCGCTCGTTATATGGGCTCAAGCAGGCACCACGTGCCTGGTACTAGCGCATCGCGGCGTTTCTTCACCAGCCTGGCTTCCGCTACAATCGCTCTGATGCCTCGCAATTTGTCTATTGACAGGGCCATGAGATTGCGTACCCGCTCCTCTACATCGACGACATCATTTTGATGGCATGCACCGCTGATCTTCTTCTTTGGCTTACTAATCGACTTCATGTTGAGTTCGCCATCAAGGACTTAGGGCCGCTACACTACTTCCGTGGCATCGAGGTGGTATGATGCGTGGACATGTTCTTTCTTCAGCAGCAGAAGTACGCTCATGAGTTGCTTGACCGCGTCGGGATGCTCAACTGCAAACCCGCGACCACCCCTATCGACACGAAGGCCAAGCTCTCCTCCACCGTTGGTTCGCCGGTGCCGGATGCCCCCTTCTACCGCTCGATTGTGGGTGCTCTCCAGTATTTGACGCCCACTCTCCTAGAGTTGAAGTACGTGGTACAACATGTGTGCCTTCATATGCATTCGCCTTGTGATGCTCACGGGACCACGGTGAAACGGATTCTCCGTTACATTCGCGGTACTATGGATCTTTGCCTCTGGCTCCACGCTTCGACAACTATGGACATTGTGGCATACTCTGATGCAAACTGGGCTGGCTGCACCGACACACGGTGTTCCACCTCTAGATATTGTGTCTACCTTGGACTATCACTTATCTGTTGGCCGTCCAAGCGACGACCCACAGTTTCTCGGTCCAGTGTTGAGGTTGAGTATCGTGCCGTGGCTAACGTTGTTGTTGAGTGCTTATGGCTTCTGCAACTTCTCTAAGAGCTCTCTTGTCCCGCCGATAAGGCCACCATTTGTGTATTGCGACAACGTTTGTGCCATCTACCTCTCTGACAACCCCGTTCATCATCGCCGCACCAAACATATTGAGCTGGATATCCACTTTGTTCGCGAGCAGGTGGCTCTTGGTCACGTTCGAGTTCTTCACATGCCTACGACCTACCTCTCAATAGTTTGCGGATATCATGACAAAGGGGTTGTCGACGTTGGTTTTCGAGGAGTTTCGGTCCAGTCTGTGCGTTAGTGCCGACGCTTCGACTGCCGGGGGAGGGGGCGGGGGTTGAGCGACCTATGTATTCGTATATACACATGCACTATAATCTGCATCCATTTTATTAGGGTTTACTCCTAGACGTGATGATTTCCCTGTACATCTATATATTGACACTGGATACCCGTGAAACGTGTGTGTTGTATCCTATCCTCTCTCTACATTTGTGTTTAGTGGTTTTTGCGCTCTGCACAAAAATGATACCTTTTTTTGCTAATAACATTACAATTGTGATGGTCCTGTGAATTTTACTTCTACTATTTCCTCATTGTCGATCCAGAAGTCATGTAACACCCAAAGTGGAGGGGCTCTCCTCCTTTCCCTTCTTCAATATATAGTGCGCACGCTCGTGGGCATTCGAAAAAAGAAGAAGCCATGACGTGTAATCGAGGATGATGTTCCGTATCTTAAAAGAGAAACCATGTGAGGCCAGAATAAAAAAGAATGTGGCAGAGGAGATAAAGAAAGCGAGTCGTCCAGTCTCCGGGCGGAGTCTGAAACAGGACCCTAATCCCACGCTCTCACAGTCGCGGTCGCAGTCGCACCCACTAATCACGGCGCATCAATCAAGCTGCCGCTATCAATCATTAACGGCGACAAGATCAAGCACACAAGCAAAACCACGCTATGCAAATCCCCCGAATATAGCAGAGCGTCCGGTCAAACCGGCCTTCATTTCCCAAGCACGATGCATAGATCAGTAAATAAACAAAAGAAAAGAAAAAGAGCGAGGGATTTTTCCGGTCCCTTTGTCCAATGGAGTCACGCGGCACGTAGCTCCGCCTCGGACCACATGCACACGCAAACCCCAATTGAAAATTATTATTACTCGCCACGAGAAAATCAGCTTTTGTTTTTGTTTTCGTCCGAGCAAG